TGTGAAAGCCGGAGGCCAACCGAATGGATAGCAAACTGCGAGCCATACTTAATAGTCTTATAATCAACTATCATTTAGATATAGTCTTGGTGAGCATGTTTGTCTGTAGTTACTGTGATGAATACTTCGAATGGAAAAAACAATGAAAGAAGGCTGTACCGGGGTGACCAAGTAGAGTGGGTTAAACATCAAGGAAATAGCCAGCTGATAAGACAAATTCCAAACGTGCACTAATAATACCACATTGCAAAGATGGATTTGTGCACACGCATCACCTAAAGCATCACGCGAATTTGCTGACAGGTAGAGAACATTCGATGACAACGAAAGAATCGCGAACAGTCTGTGGTTATGTTCAACCGAATCAATGATATGTAAGGATGCTGGGTGCCAATGAAACGTCTTCTTTAGGATAGCAACACAACCCGACTTGAAGGACTAGCGTTTATAATAGTAGGGTTTAGCACGAAAGTCTATGAGAAAATAAGAGACGCGCCGATCCAACAGATCAAAGGTGTCAACAACCAGGTGTATCCAAAAGTATATTCGATTATTTGAGCGAAATAACCTCACCGACCTTTTTCAAGTGTCAGACGTAAACACTCAGATTGGCGTCAATGAAAAGCGAAGAGAGAATAATCTTAATAATGGTTACAGCCACACAACACGTTTGCGTGCGGAGCTAGTTAACAATGAGATACAGTAAACTAAAAACTAAATTCTAGTGAACTGGGAATTCTTCACAGTAGCTCCCAAGTCAAATAGCCTCTCGCACGTCCGGAAAAGCACCAAACAGCCATTTCGTCCTAGCTGGACCCGTCAGTGATGCGATTCCGACGGCTCCATTAGGAATCCAGTCTATGATATATTGACAATAGCAACCTAAGCTACCATCAAGTAGTTCATGACACTGGGATAGAGGTGACGGCGGAAGACCTTTATAGTCTATAAGCGAACTGTGAAGTAGCACCACTCGTCCTTCACTACTATGTAAATTACGAACAATGCAGAGGGCAGGTTTGTTGCTTAGAGTCACGGGGCTCCTCATAACAGAAGTGTGGAAGGCTATCCAACCAGGAAGCTAATGCGGAGAACCCTCAATTGATTATAGTATAACCCCATACTCAAGTGTAAATTCTAATAATTGGCTAAACATACGGTACTATAATCCGTTTCGAAAGAAAGTGAACTATTGTACAAAGGGAATGTCACGAACTGAGGCTATTTAGACTCAAAACGTTTAATTGAAAACACCGAAATGTACTAGGGTACCAGAGTGAGCAACGTTTGGCAGACGAACCTCCGGTTTGGGTTCCCGAAACAGATAACCAAGCTGGGATGTGGCACAGTGGTCTCAAAGCATGTGGCATGGCAGAACCTTCAAATTTGGCCGTGCTCTACGATTCCCCTCTTTGGAGTTTAGCAACACACATATTCTCATCTCTTACATTTGGTTCTATCGGTTTTCGTTTTAATTCATCATTCGTCGCGCGATGCAAATCTACTTACGCAATATGTTAAAATCGCTACGTTTTCCTATGTTCGTAACCCGTGTATTTCCGAACGGTTATCATAAACAAACTGGAACGAATTCATAAGAAGTGTAACAATTCTGTTAGAAAACATCGTTCTGGATGGAGGGTTGCAATTCGAAGGAAAATATTGATATCTGAGCATCCCAGTATTGCTTAGCTCATGGGGAAATTAAATGAACTATCAAATATTGTTTTCACAAGAGTTTCCGCAGCAAGAAACCCGGCTCCATGAAGTGGATGATGCAGTGGTATCCGTTGGAGAATTTATTTGCCATCGGGTTGAGCGCCCAGGTAAGTACCGAAACCGAGGTGGTGTAGTACTTAGTTACACCAATCCGTCTAGGTATATTGCAACAAAACGTGTTTTTTGATTCTCCTCACACTTTATCAATTGTTTAGTCATACAATGTAAGCCGAGGTGTTTGAATGGCTACCGCTCAATATGGTCAGCTAATATCTACATATCTCCCACCTGTCCCAAACATGAAGCTGAGAATTTCTATGACGAATTTACTGCAGCTGTCATAGAACACATCGATCGTTCTCAGTGCATCTTCGGCGGAAATTTCAATAGATGTGACACCACTTTTCTCACCACTCTCGGGTTGCGAAACATCGTCAATCTGCCCACCAGGTCAAACGCAACCTTGGACCTGGTGTTTGTTAATACTGTGAAGTGGTTCTCCGTATGTACTCGTGCTCCAATCGGTAATTCTGATCACTCAACTATCAAGATTTCACCTGTCATCTATAGCAAGAACAACTACCAACAAATCACTCGCTGCAATGATCGAAGGGTCAGGTGGAGACAGTACTCTCCACAAAATTTCGACAGGCTTCGCGAAATGAATGAAGATCAGAAATCAGTTCAGGGTAAAGAATTCTTTTCGGTAAACTCTGAGCGGACCCAAACGTTTACATAGCACTGATTTTGGGGAAAGCGTCAACTCAGGCTGGGACTGACTTCTGAACTGTTTGAAGGATCAAAATCGATAACTTGAGACAGGGATATAGATGGTATGTAGCAGTCTGGAGATTCCCCGGTTTGCCTGTGTAAAATTCTAACCAAAATTCTATAACTGTACACTTAGGCAACCGGTGTGGTTTGTTGAACTGATTGCTGAGTTCGAATGCTTTACTTGCTCATCGCCATTTTTGCTTGGCGCTCGCTTCGGTTGCAACGCGCAACTGCTCTGTGTGCTGTGCTTGATCCGTTCCCCTAGCTAGAGCGTCCACGGTGTCGTTCATTTATAGCTAGCTAACAGGGAATCTTTTGCTGAACCAATAAAAGTTTCCCTGCAACTCGATCTGTCTTCTGGAATCGCTCTCTGGGCTCCCGGAATAGGCAACCCTCTAAAGGTATGCCAAGTGAATTAAATACACACGCATACAATACTCAGTAGTCCGAAATAATTAGGTAGGTAACGCAACAAGTAAGCAAGTCTAATACTGATACAGCTGCAGTCTTCCTGTGCAAAAGTGTTGGGGTCTGCTGAACCACTGCCACTGTAAATAATCTACTGAAACATCTACGTTCCGGTAAAGCTAGTGGGCCGGACATGCTATCTCCTATCTTAATCAAAAAATGTGCCGATTGTTTGGCAACACCTCTTGCGAGTATATACACAATGTGTATGCAGCAACACAAAGTAGTCGACTGTTGACGATGTGTCAACATTACACCAGTGCCGAGAAAAGGATCCAACAGTTAGCGACCTATCGCGTGCACTTCCGTTGCTTTGAAGGTTTTGGAGAAAGTCATTCTCGAAACGATGCCGTCCAGAACACGCTCTAAAGACCCCCTCCAATCCGCCTATTGTAGTTGGAGGTCTACTCTCGATGCTGTGGCCTACCTCGTGCATTCTGTACTGTCATCGCTTGACAATAAGAACAAAGCAACTCGGATGTGTTTGTCTGACTACAGCAATGCATTTGGCAGTGTAAACCGCGAATTACTGCTAGGAGACCTATTTAATCAAGAACTACATTCCTCCATTATCTATTTACTGAGTGGTTATTTTGCTGAACGCATTCAGACCACCCGACTCAGTGGTAGATGTTCCTCCCCACTACTCATCAACGCAGGTGTCCTTCAGGGAGCGATTCTATCGCCTTTTCACTTTTCTACTTACATCAGCTCTATGCCAGCTCCAACTGAAGCGACTCTTTTTTATGGGAGAACCTGAATTCAGACTATTTCATGCCTTCTCATTCAGCCGCTTACAGACAAATCGTGGAAAGAAGCCTCTGCCATCGGACGAATGAAACCAAAGCTTTTCAAACAGGTCAACTTTGTGGCCAGTCTTGCCTTGCCCTGGTAAGACGTAGGCGATGCCCTTGATTTTCTCAGCATTTTATTGATTTCCTTACTGACCCTTTTTCAATTGCGTTCCTTTACTCTTTCCACGGTTTGTCTGTAGGCGGCTGAATGAGAAGACATGAAATAATCTGAATTCAGGTTATCCCGTAAAAATGTTGTTCGTTATTGCTCTCTTAAAATTTCTGAAGGGAAATGGCTGCATGAAGCGACTCTGATAAAATATGCGGATGATATAGTCCTGGGTATCAATCACCAAAGCGCTGATTATTCATTCAGACTACAAGCGATTCTGAAGGATCTTAATGGCTGGTCCAAATCCCGTGATCTGTTTCTGAATGCTTCAAAGTGTCATGACATTCATCTTTTTCTTACACATAGGAGCCAGGTACGAGGAGCTCCTTTCACTGTGCAACAAGGTACATATTGATGGCGACGAATTACAGTCCTCCGCATTAGTAAAATATCTGGGTGTGACGTTGAGTTATGATTTATCTTGGACGCTTCAAGTAACTGAAACTTTCACAAAAGTCAGAAGGCTGTCATTCTATGCCTCTCGGCTCAGAGCCTCCTGCGTTCGCTTTGTCAATGTCTGTGTTCTTCCCCATTGGACGTGCCGTTCCCCTGTGATGTTTCCCGGTCTTTTGGGTAAGCATTTTAAGTTACTTATCAATCATTAAAGTACTTAGCCCGATGTAGCAGTGTTCCAATATCTGCTTTTACCAACACTGATTTCTACACACATAAGTTCTTGTAAAAACATGGCCTCTAAGATACTGACCGATACAAGTCATCCCCTATATACTGCCTTATCCGAATGTTTATCAACTTCATCTACTAAGCAGAAGTACAAACCGATCTATGTCTACACACAAGATTACCGCTCGTCAGTCATCCCTTACCTCTCGTGTTTTGCGAGACTCCAACTATGTCATCCTTGAATTAACCAGTGGACTTTCAACTTGATGTGTTGTTGGTCTTTATCTACCTGTTCTTCGTCGTATTGCCTTGTCACTGATTTGCTTTTTTGCTACATTGCCGAAATTGTGTGTGTTGTAGCTGAATATTCACCCATGCAGGGTGCATAAAACAATTTCTTGATTTGACTTGAAGGCATGGTCGGTCAACGTTAGGAAGGCAATCTGTTCCCATTGTTGTTGCAGACTGTGACGGACAGAGTTAAATATTAAATTATCTCACTAGTTGCAACATGATTCCACAGGAGAAATAATCGCGTGACTACAAACAGCCAAAATAAGAGATAAAAGCTTTAATATGTACATGAGTGACAGAAATGGAAGCGTAGAGGGAAAATAATGAAAGCATTTTTCTCACCGGTTGGAGAGAAGAGAAGCAGTAGAGAAATTAAAAAAGAAAAGTGAAAATCGGTGGCAACTAGAACGATCACGATAGCAGAAAAGCTGAGACTGCAGTGCCACGACAGCATGAATGGAATGCATCATATAGAACCTGATAACACTTCGTAGGAAAGACGACACAATCCAAGCATCGAGAACCAAACACTTGCTAGTGATTGGCTTAAAAACGAGATGAAAGGCGAATGGACCATTTCTGTGTGTGCTGTGTGTGTGCACTAGTGTTCTCATGATCGTGTGTGAGTGAATAGTGTGCTTGTGCACTTCAGTGGCGCTGCATGTCCTCAATATAATCGGGCAGTACCATTGCTGAGACAAAATCGACTGATAAGTAATCGTGACAGGCGAATTTCCATGTCCATAATTTGGCCAACTCCTCGAACCGTGTGCGGTCCTGTGTGTACAGCGCACCTATCACGGGTTCCATGCATACTGTGGTGTACGGATCAGTCAGAAGTGATTGCACGCTAATCAGTAACTTCTCCAGTGTCAAGGCCAGACTCCAGTTGTGTTGGATGCAATCCATACCAACATCGCCATGAAAACTTATGTTAGGATGAAGAATGCGGGTGAGAAAACGAATCACAGGTGGGCGGATCGGGTAGCTGTCCGGCACCAGAATGTGCACGTGGAACAGACCACCCTGATAGGGAGACTGTGGTGGACCTTCGATGCCAGCGAGACAGTGCGAGTAGGTTTCCGTATCCAAGGCAAGCACGCGGATACCAAACGGCGGATCAGTGCACAGATTTTTGATTTCATGAACAATACGACGATAACGCAAACTTGGGGCTTCAACCGGAAATAAAATGGGAAAACGAAGGCGCTCAAGACAGAATCGACACGTGACACTGTCCATCAAATTGAGGTAAAGTTGACGCCAACTGCTAACTCGATTGTGAGGAGTGAAAAGGGGCCAACGAAGCCGGACAAAATGCGACCAATCCTGCTCTGAAACTTCTTCGTCAATAACCTGTCGACATCTTGAAGACACCAGACGCAAAGTCCATAAAGAAATGTCGTCCAATGACTGGAAGATGCGTAGAAGAATTTCGGTAGGAAGATCGTCCAACGAAGGAGTAGATGACTCTGACAGCTGCTGCTTTACAGGATGTTGGTATCTTACGTTGCGCATATGACAACAAATGGAGCCGCTTCCAGCAGTTAAACCTGGGGAACTAAACATGGTATGCTGCTGCTGACGCAATGGACAAGATCGCCGCTGGAGTCGCAAACCGACCGGGTAGGACCGGACTAAGTCCCTGTCTGTGTCCGAGAAATCGTTTCGTGCTGGAGACTCAAAGTATTCCGACGCGTCATACCAGTCAGTGGAGGAGTAGAGATCGGATCCGCGTTCAGGATCCTCATTTCCACTGTCGTTCGAAGCTTCCTTTTGGTCCAACATTAAGCCCTCAGTCATGGACGCTGAACAGAACTCGTAAATGAATGCATGACAGGCCGAGCAAACTGGCTGATCACTGCCGAAATCGTAGTATCCATCACAGAATTTGCAGACCACTGGCTAGTATTAAACAGGAAGGAAAAAAGGAAATACGTTTGATACAAAAATGAATAAGCATAGTAAATACAAATGAAGGGCTGTCTTGGGAAGCACGCAGTAATAAAAATAGATAGGCTTAATGAACAAGGAGCTTAGTTGAGAAAAACGGAGAACTTCGACGTAAAATGCCGGCGAGCTAACAAAAAGTGCAAAGGAAAAGGAACAATCAGGTCCACAGATAAGGATAATACAAGACAATCGGTTCAAAGATGCCTATAAAAACGGAGAAGAGTGCGCCCAGAAAATATGGATGCCGTTCGGTAAGAAATTGGTGTATGAACGCGTGGAAGAGATTGCACTTAGCTTGGCACCGATACAAGGGTATGAGCAGTAAGCCGGTACGCAGTACCGAAGTTTCGCAACCGACAACAGTTGCGAGGCTCGCCCGGTCCCCTACGCAGGCTCGAACCCGTGCCCTCGGATTACAAGGCAGGCCACGAGCCGGCAACAATCTATGGAGACTAAACGGTGAGATGGCGAAGGGGTGAAGAAACAAGGCAAGAAGCCGAGTTGTGTTGGTGTGCATGTCGCAACGCCGGATGGAGCAACTAAGTAGGCAAAATAACAGCCTGCAACCCTAGCAAACAGTGCAATCGAGGAGTAAATAGCGTCTTGCATGAGCTCAAACAATTCAAAATGTTATGTTTCGTTAAACTTTGCAACATTTTTAAGTCCTCCCGTTTGCATTTAAGCTTTAATCCAGTTCGCATTTGTGAAGCAGACGATGGGAAACCAGCGGCATGCTCGGATGCAGACCAGTACCTAAAGCTTATAGCTGTTGGGTTTATCGCTAGGTAACTGCAGAATGATACCAAACGGTGAATCGGCACCAAGTATAAAGGGAGGTTAGGTAACTACAAAACGCCAAACATTCGGTGCATACTTGGAATAAGCGTTCTTTATTGCCCGTGCTTGAAATTAAGCTAGAACTTCGGCCGGTGGCCGAGTGGTCTACACGAATGATCATGGGTTCAAATCAATGTATGGGCGGGCTTCCTCGCGGTATACTCAGCCCACGCACGACTGGTGATGATCGCGCGGCAGCGAAGCGCGTTTGCCGTTCCGTAGCCTAAGTGCAACAAGCTTGTCTTGTAGTCTGACGGCACGGGTTCGTCAGCGTAGAAGCAGGGCGACCCTAGTAGTATCCTTGGCCCACGTGCGACCGGTGGTGGTCGCGCGGCAGCGAAGCGTCGGTACTGCATACCGGCGTACTGCTGATGCCTTTTTGAGATCCTGAGAAGCCCGAATAATCTACTTGCGCATGCACATCGCCGGCAATCGGAATAATAAATGAGCTTAGAGCACGCGTTGTAGCGTCTTAAGTTTGTCGTAAAAGACATCTTCCATAGTAGCAGGCAAGTCAGAGTAAAGGCACTAATACTAACCGCGCGTAGACTAATACAGCATGAGGCTAAATTCAGTAAAATAGTCATGATTGCATATGGGCTGGGATATCGCCAAGACGTCAAAAGTTAGGAGGAAGAACGTATGGGACTGTTGATGTACCCGAAGGTAACATCTTGCACGCAGTGAACAAAAAACGGCAAGTGATACAGCGGCGGCCGCCGATGAACAGGGTTTGTGCCAATCTGGTGAGAGTGCCGAAAGAAATCATGACCCTACAAAACAAAATACAACGCCTTGGAGATCAGAGAGAGAGAGAGAGAGAGAGAGAGAGAGAGAGAGAGAGAGAGAGTAAGACTACATTCACCGACGCCGCCGTAAGCTGAAAATCAGTAATAAAGATATGATAAAATTAAAGTGTTCCATGGTTATGTGCTGGGTGGATCAAATCTCAGAGTAAATAAACCGACAACACCTGGTAAATCTGTTGAGAGAGGATATTCAGCTGGAGGTAAGAAACAAAAAACACCGGGGAAGAGTCTTTCACTAGCGTGTTCGAATGGGTGGTTGAGGAACATGGAACTGTGTGTGATGGCAGCTGATGACCTAAGTGAATGAAACCGAAGGGGAGACAGCGGACAGGAATATCATCAAGCTTTACCTAAACAAGCTGAACACAGTTACGCGGGTCGGAAGAATAACACAGAACTGATGTGGCCTAGCATATACAAAACTCTAGGTGATCCCAGATAGCGTAGGCTTGGGTTGGACCGAGAGTTGTGGACGAACAGGGGGTGTGGGCAAGTGAACTTAGGTAGGTGGTGTAAAACGAACAACGAAGACTAGCCAATGAAGAACTGTTGTACAGGATGCATTTAATTTTCGTACGGATACACGTGTGGCCGCAAAAAGATGCGATTCTGAATGCAACTCTCAGTTGCTAATCGCAAGATGAAGCATCAAGGACTGCAAACCGAGGGGAAGAGTGGGATCACGCCTTGAAAGTCTGAAAAATATGTTACTGTAAAGCGAACACAATGACTGTTTCATCTCTAGTGAGAGTTAAAACCCGTCGAGTGCCTTGATAACAAAATATGCTGAATAAAATAATCCAGTTAAACCTGAGGGTAACAAGTATAATTTAGTAGTACCAAATTATCATCAAAAATGTAAACTTTGCAACATTTTTAAGTCCTCCCGTTTGCATTTAAGCTTTAATCCAGTTCGCATTTGTGAAGCAGACGATGGGAAACCAGCGGCATGCTCGGATGCAGACCAGTACCCAAAGCTTATAGCTGTTGGGTTTATCGCTAGGTAACTGCAGAATGATACCAAACGGTGAATCGGCACCAATTATAAAGGGAGGTTAGGTAACTACAAAACGCCAAACATTCGGTGCATACTTGGAATAAGCGTTCTTTATTGCCCGTGCTCGAAATTAAGCTAGAACTTCGGCCGGTGGCCGAGTGGTCTACATGAATGATCATGGGTTCAAATCAATGTATGGGCGGGCTTCCTCGCGGTATACTCAGCCCACGCACGACTGGTGATGATCGCGCGGCAGCGAAGCGCGTTTGCCGTTCCGTAGCCTAAGTGCATCAAGCTTGTCTTGTAGTCTGACGGCACGGGTTCGTCAGCATAGAAGCAGGGCGACCCTAGTAGTATCCTTGGCCCACGTGCGACCGGTGGTGGTCGCGCGGCAGCGAAGCGTCGGTACTGCATACCGGCGTACTGCTGATGCCTTTTTGAGATCCTGAGAAGCCCGAATAATCTACTTGCGCATGCACATCGCCGGCAATCGGAATAATAAATGAGCTTAGAGGACGCGTTGTAGCGTCTTAAGTTTGTCGTAAAAGACATCTTCCATAGTAGCAGGCAAGTCAGAGTAAAGGCACTAATACTAACCGCGCGTAGATTAATACAGCATGAGGCTAAATTCAGTAAAATAGTCATGATTGCATATGGGCTGGGATATCGCCAAGACGTCAAAAGTTAGGAGGAAGAACGTATGGGACTGTTGATGTACCCGAAGGTAACATCTTGCACGCAGTGAACAAAAAACGGCAAGTGATACAGCGGCGGTCGCCGATGAACAGGGTTTGCGCCAATCTGGTGAGAGTGCCGAAAGAAATCATGACCCTACAAAACAAAATACAACGCCTTGGAGATCAGAGAGAGAGAGAGAGAGAGAGAGAGAGAGAGAGAGAGAGAGAGTAAGACTACATTCACCGACGCCGCCGTAAGCTGAAAATCAGTAATAAAGATATGATAAAATTAAAGTGTTCCATGGTTATGTGCTGGGTGGATCAAATCTCAGAGTAAATAAACCGACAACACCTGGTAAATCTGTTGAGAGAGGATATTCAGCTGGAGGTAAGAAACAAAAAACACCGGGGAAGAGTCTTTCACTAGCGTGTTCGCATGGGTGGTTGAGGAACATGGAACTGTGTGTGATGGCAGCTGATGACCTAAGTGAATGAAACCGAAGGGGAGACATCGGACAGGAATATCATCAAGCTTTACCAAAACAAGCTGAACACAGTTACGCGGGTCGGAAGAATCACACAGAAATGATGTGGCCTAGCATATACAAAACTCTAGGTGATCCCAGATAGCGTAGGCTTGGCTTGGACCGAGAGTTGTGGACGAACAGGGGGTGTGGGCAAGTGAACTTAGGTAGGTGGTGTAAAACGAACAACGAAGACTAGCCAATGAAGAACTGTTGTACAGGATGCATTTAATTTTCGTACGGATACACGTGTGGCCGCAAAAAGATGCGATTCTGAATGCAACTCTCAGTTGCTAATCGCAAGATGAAGCATCAAGGACTGCAAACCGAGGGGAAGAGTGGGATCACGCCTTGAAAGTCTGAAAAATATGTTACTGTAAAGCGAACACAATGACTGTTTCATCTCTAGTGAGAGTTAAAACCCGTCGAGTGCCTTGATAACAAAATATGCTGAATAAAATAATCCAGTTAAACCTGAGGGTAACAAGTATAATTTAGTAGTACCAAATTATCATCAAAAATGTAAACTTTGCAACATTTTAAGTCCTCCCGTTTGCATTTAAGCTTTAATCCAGTTCGCATTTGTGAAGCAGACGATGGGAAACCAGCGGCATGCTCGGATGCAGACCAGTACCCAAAGCTTATAGCTGTTGGGTTTATCGCTAGGTAACTGCAGAATGATACCAAACGGTGAATCGGCACCAATTATAAAGGGAGGTTAGGTAACTACAAAACGCCAAACATTCGGTGCATACTTGGAATAAGCGTTCTTTATTGCCCGTGCTCGAAATTAAGCTAGAACTTCGGCCGGTGGCCGAGTGGTCTACATGAATGATCATGGGTTCAAATCAATGTATGGGCGGGCTTCCTCGCGGTATACTCAGCCCACGCACGACTGGTGATGATCGCGCGGCAGCGAAGCGCGTTTGCCGTTCCGTAGCCTAAGTGCAACAAGCTTGTCTTGTAGTCTGACGGCACGGGTTCGTCAGCATAGAAGCAGGGCGACCCTAGTAGTATCCTTGGCCCACGTGCGACCGGTGGTGGTCGCGCGGCAGCGAAGCGTCGGTACTGCATACCGGCGTACTGCTGATGCCTTTTTGAGATCCTGAGAAGCCCGAATAATCTACTTGCGCATGCACATCGCCGGCAATCGGAATAATAAATGAGCTTAGAGGACGCGTTGTAGCGTCTTAAGTTTGTCGTAAAAGACATCTTCCATAGTAGCAGGCAAGTCAGAGTAAAGGCACTAATACTAACCGCGCGTAGATTAATACAGCATGAGGCTAAATTCAGTAAAATAGTCATGATTGCATATGGGCTGGGATATCGCCAAGACGTCAAAAGTTAGGAGGAAGAACGTATGGGACTGTTGATGTACCCGAAGGTAACATCTTGCACGCAGTGAACAAAAAACGGCAAGTGATACAGCGGCGGTCGCCGATGAACAGGGTTTGCGCCAATCTGGTGAGAGTGCCGAAAGAAATCATGACCCTACAAAACAAAATACAACGCCTTGGAGATCAGAGAGAGAGAGAGAGAGAGAGAGAGAGAGAGAGAGAGAGAGAGAGAGAGAGAGAGAGAGAGTAAGACTACATTCACCGACGCCGCCGTAAGCTGAAAATCAGTAATAAAGATATGATAAAATTAAAGTGTTCCATGGTTATGTGCTGGGTGGATCAAATCTCAGAGTAAATAAACCGACAACACCTGGTAAATCTGTTGAGAGAGGATATTCAGCTGGAGGTAAGAAACAAAAAACACCGGGGAAGAGTCTTTCACTAGCGTGTTCGCATGGGTGGTTGAGGAACATGGAACTGTGTGTGATGGCAGCTGATGACCTAAGTGAATGAAACCGAAGGGGAGACATCGGACAGGAATATCATCAAGCTTTACCAAAACAAGCTGAACACAGTTACGCGGGTCGGAAGAATCACACAGAAATGATGTGGCCTAGCATATACAAAACTCTAGGTGATCCCAGATAGCGTAGGCTTGGCTTGGACCGAGAGTTGTGGACGAACAGGGGGTGTGGGCAAGTGAACTTAGGTAGGTGGTGTAAAACGAACAACGAAGACTAGCCAATGAAGAACTGTTGTACAGGATGCATTTAATTTTCGTACGGATACACGTGTGGCCGCAAAAAGATGCGATTCTGAATGCAACTCTCAGTTGCTAATCGCAAGATGAAGCATCAAGGACTGCAAACCGAGGGGAAGAGTGGGATCACGCCTTGAAAGTCTGAAAAATATGTTACTGTAAAGCGAACACAATGACTGTTTCATCTCTAGTGAGAGTTAAAACCCGTCGAGTGCCTTGATAACAAAATATGCTGAATAAAATAATCCAGTTAAACCTGAGGGTAACAAGTATAATTTAGTAGTACCAAATTATCATCAAAAATGTAAACTTTGCAACATTTTAAGTCCTCCCGTTTGCATTTAAGCTTTAATCCAGTTCGCATTTGTGAAGCAGACGATGGGAAACCAGCGGCATGCTCGGATGCAGACCAGTACCCAAAGCTTATAGCTGTTGGGTTTATCGCTAGGTAACTGCAGAATGATACCAAACGGTGAATCGGCACCAATTATAAAGGGAGGTTAGGTAACTACAAAACGCCAAACATTCGGTGCATACTTGGAATAAGCGTTCTTTATTGCCCGTGCTCGAAATTAAGCTAGAACTTCGGCCGGTGGCCGAGTGGTCTACATGAATGATCATGGGTTCAAATCAATGTATGGGCGGGCTTCCTCGCGGTATACTCAGCCCACGCACGACTGGTGATGATCGCGCGGCAGCGAAGCGCGTTTGCCGTTCCGTAGCCTAAGTGCAACAAGCTTGTCTTGTAGTCTGACGGCACGGGTTCGTCAGCATAGAAGCAGGGCGACCCTAGTAGTATCCTTAGCCCACATGCGACTGGTGGTGGGCGCACGGCAGCGATGCGTCGGCACTGCATACCGGCGTACTGCTGATGCCTTTTTGAGATCCTGAGAAGCCCGAATAATCTACTTGCGCATGCACATCGCCGGCAATCGGAATAATAAATGAGCTTAGAGGACGCGTTGTAGCGTCTTAAGTTTGTCGTAAAAGACATCTTCCATAGTAGCAGGCAAGTCAGAGTAAAGGCACTAATACTAACCGCGCGTAGATTAATACAGCATGAGGCTAAATTCAGTAAAATAGTCATGATTGCATATGGGCTGGGATATCGCCAAGACGTCAAAAGTTAGGAGGAAGAACGTATGGGACTGTTGATGTACCCGAAGGTAACATCTTGCACGCAGTGAACAAAAAACGGCAAGTGATACAGCGGCGGTCGCCGATGAACAGGGTTTGCGCCAATCTGGTGAGAGTGCCGAAAGAAATCATGACCCTACAAAACAAAATACAACGCCTTGGAGATCAGAGAGAGAGAGAGAGAGAGAGAGAGAGAGAGAGAGAGAGAGAGAGAGAGAGAGAGAGAGAGAGTAAGACTACATTCACCGACGCCGCCGTAAGCTGAAAATCAGTAATAAAGATATGATAAAATTAAAGTGTTCCATGGTTATGTGCTGGGTGGATCAAATCTCAGAGTAAATAAACCGACAACACCTGGTAAATCTGTTGAGAGAGGATATTCAGCTGGAGGTAAGAAACAAAAAACACCGGGGAAGAGTCTTTCACTAGCGTGTTCGCATGGGTGGTTGAGGAACATGGAACTGTGTGTGATGGCAGCTGATGACCTAAGTGAATGAAACCGAAGGGGAGACATCGGACAGGAATATCATCAAGCTTTACCAAAACAAGCTGAACACAGTTACGCGGGTCGGAAGAATAACACAGAACTGATGTGGCCTAGCATATACAAAACTCTAGGTGATCCCAGATAGCGTAGGCTTGGGTTGGACCGAGAGTTGTGGACGAACAGGGGGTGTGGGCAAGTGAACTTAAGTAGGTGGTGTAAAACGAACAACGAAGACTAGCCAATGAAGAACTGTTGTACAGGATGCATTTAATTTTCGTACGGATACACGTGTGGCCGCAAAAAGATGCGATCCTGAATGCAACTCTCAGTTGCTAATCGCAAGATGAAGCATCAAGGACTGCAAACCGAGGGGAAGAGTGGGATCACGCCTTGAAAGTCTGAAAAATATGTTACTGTAAAGCGAACACAATGACTGTTTCATCTCTAGTGAGAGTTAAAACCCGTCGAGTGCCTTGATAACAAAATATGCTGAATAAAATAATCCAGTTAAACCTGAGGGTAACAAGTATAATTTAGTAGTACCAAATTATCATCAAAAATGTAAGAAGTAACTGAAACAGTGAACAAGGATTTCAGAAACCCGTCAAGCTCATGAAAGGGGCACAAAGCCGACAACGCTTCTAAAAGTCAGAATTCACGAACCTTAGCCTTGTTCATTAAGCGGAGAGTGTGAAGCCGAATGGAAGTGAAGATCAAGTGAATGGAATAATCTTGCGGAGCTCAAAGCGAGTGACATCTAACGTTGGCATCCGAGTCTGGAGTGAAGATATACAGTGAAATGCCAGCTGAAAAGTATAAGAGGAGTGCGGTTGGAAGGATTGCGTTTCGCAGAAAACGAACAAAAGCACCAGCATAAGCGGGTTGCGATAAATATGGAACCCCACATATCGATTGAAAAGGTCAATTATGCGCTGAAACAACAAAAACGAAAAGTAAACTATGCCACCACTAAGCTCAACAGTCAATCCACTCTACTGAGCGAGGTTATTGAAGGGAGGTAGTTCGGACGCTGCAATGCGAGAGTATCGATAAGTCAAACACAAATATTTGCGACAGTAAAAATGGCGGTAGGCTTGAGGAGAAAGCGACGAAGGTACACAATTGAGAGTGTCCATTACACCGTTCTGCAAGAAAGTGATTCAATGAAACTGAGACTATGTCAACCGAATACGCTCTCAGTACCCAAAGAGCAAACAATTGACTTAAGGGCGAACTGATAAACGTAAGTGACATGTTAGAATACAAGTAGCTGAATAGGTGATCAAGAATGGCAAAACGTGAATCGCTGTAGAAGTGGTACAATACATTGTGGCGTATGCTGTGTACACCTGAATGACCTAGCAGTTGGATTAAGTTAAGCAAACACATACTTGATATGCTGTTTTCTAGCCATACTATTCGGAGCTCCAGATAACCAGGCGGAGTAAGGGTAGACGATGCACACTAAGACAGTAAGTCGACGACGTTCACTCAATGTATGTGTAGTGAGAAGTCGATAAACAAGTCAGCGAGTTGCCAAAGGGTCAAACAGCAAGTACCAACTAATGAGACTAAATCATTATTTGCTCGATGTTTTATCACATAAGCCATACAAGACAAGCACAAGTAGTCCAGGAAAGAAAGATCTGCAAAGTCTTCTTGACAAGTGAATTCAGATAACACAAACAGGGTTGTTCATGGAAAAATGCTGCTCAACAATCAAACCACTAGGTCCCAAGATAAAATAATCAGTCTGTTTTCTATCATTGTTCCATTCACTGACTCCTCTTTTCAGTTGTCTCCCAATCTGTCTGAAAGACGTACGTCATCCACAACGATCTCAACCATAGCTGTGTTTATCGATTTCAAGTGTGCGTTCGACTCAGTCGATTTCTCCATTCTCTTCGACATACATGTTCAGGAAGGTGCTCTCACCAAACATGAGAATATTTCTCGTGTCATGTATTCGAATACCAGAGGTCGCATCAGGGTCTGTGGTGACTTGTCGGACCCATTTCCGATAAGTGGAGTTCGTCGGCGTTGAGCAATTTACCTATTTTTGTTAAAGAACGTGGAGTTCATCATGCGATGTTCCCTACAGAAATCCCACGATGTGGACACTGGAACGTTGCCGTGTGAAAACTTAGCTGAGCAGAAACATGTCGACAATATCGTCTTGCTAACAGACTGACAGGCAGCTCGTGCAAATCTGGATAACTTGTCCGGAACAGTCCCGTTCTTCCACATAAGCTACCAAATTTCAAAATGAAAACTTACGTTACGGGATCAGCAAGCGCTTGATAACAAGTAGAGGAACAGTGAATTCGGGTGCATTTTAACGCAGAGTATGTTGGTGTTCCCATGACGGCTAAGATTGGTTGTTTCTGGGGGCAGACCATAGTTTCCTCCGAACATTAGCGCCTTCCTGTTGACTGCAGGTGAAGGGTTTTTGAGTGCTTCTTAATAGTTGGATGGTTTCATCGACGCCCATGGAGCTCGCCCAGTGACCCCTTCCGGCCTAGGTATTTGTTCAGTAAGGTAGGCTTCAATGTACTTACGCACATGCAGATTGGGCCGCAGGTTGGTCTTACGCGCACCTTGGAATCCTTCACCATCGATGTTTGTTGTCTTTCTGTAACACGCTTGCAAGATCCAGTACTGTGATTGAGTTGAGGTTTCCCACCGACCACGGAGCCATATTTCACTTACGTCTATCTGGTGACACAGAAGCAGTTGCGGCAAGTTTGGCTAGTGTTGGTGTAGCGCTAAGTAGCAAGGTCGAGGCCGCACTGCTGGGCTGGTTCCCGATTAACAGCGGACTGTGTGTATTTCGGCTTCGGGGATCAGGCGGGATCAACAGATGTTGTGAGATGTGACATGTTTGTGACCATAGATTAGACTCTAACTGATTTTAGTTCCGATTCAGTTAAGAACGATTTCTACCGTGATGTGAACAAAGCTGTAACGTCAAAAAGACCATTACCTCGTCTCATTCTATTGTCATTCCCTTAAGTTTTTCAAGGAATTGTTCTGCCGACTGGATTGAGTGCTCTAAGCCTACTAGTAGGCGTTTCCAAAGTTCCTTAGATAGCTTGTAATTCGGTGCCACGGGGTACTGACACGATAGGGCGAAGCGGTATCCCATTTTGGTGTACTTTAGGTAGGCCGTAGAACCGTGGTAGCACTGAATTCTCGGGTTTCAGTTTGTTGTGTTCTAACTTCGTGATCTGTCCCATTTGTTCCAGTCTCTGAAGAGTTTTGTTGATCTTGCTTTTCAGACGTTTTGTAGGGTCTTCACTTATCGGCTGGTAGGTGTTTACATCTCCGAGCAGTTCTTGTGCTTTCTTCATGCGCTCAATTTTGTCCATGATGACAGTAAACCGTTCCTTGTCGGCCGGTAATATAACAATATGCTTGTCTTTTCTGAGGTTCGTCAGTGCTCTTCGTTCGCTTACACTGAATATGTTGGTTTCCATTTTGGGACTCAGAGCGGGGATGATGCTGTGTCTCATTGCATGTTGAGATTCAAGCGCGATGTTTGATGTGGTCAGCGTTGATTCAAGTGCGGCAAGGAAATCAATGGGATTGGAATCTTTGTAATTGACTAGCAAACCTCGCACAAGAACTGATATTTCTGAGACTGATAGGTTTCGTTTGGATAGAGTCTTAATCCATGTGTCTTCTTCGTTTGCTGTTTTGTGTTGCGAGATTCTGTTCAACTTCCTTTTTAGTTTCTGCTTTTTTGAGTTTGGTCTTATTGGTACTAATGGCCATCGCTTTCTCAAGCTCTCTGGTTAACTATTCCCCGAGGTTGGACAAGTATATGACCATTTGTTGTTCTAGGGAGCTAGCGTGATTATCACTACCCGGTACTCGCCTACGCACATCATCGTTGCAGACACGCTGGTGCCATCCGACACTAGCAATACTACGCAGACAACGATGATCAAAGATTTGAAGGTGCCCCAGATCTTCAAACCGAAGGGGCCAAGTCTCACTTACATAGAGCAGAACGGCCGTCACTGTGGCCTTGTATACCCGGCCTTTCAGACGGTAGGCAAACTCCCTTCTGTGGCTAAAAATGCCGCAGGTTCAAGAAGGTAGTTCTGGCTTCTGCAATGCGTGAGCTGACGTCAGTTTCTATGCGCCCATCATTGCTGATGTAGATCCCAAGATAAGTGAATTGATCAACCACCTCGAGCTCCTCGTTAGCAGGGGTCAAGGGGTCATAAAGTGCCTGGTGGTCCTGCAGCAACACTGCACTTGGAAGGTGTGAAGTGCATACCAAATAATGGGACCACTCTAGACAGGCTATTCAGCGTTAATCGTGCCGCCCCAACATCGTCGAAAAGCAAGACGATATCGTCCGCATAATCTAGAACTAACCTTTTACCAGGCAGCACTACAACGCCTACATCGTGAGATTCCGTAAGGGAACACTCCATGGTAGAATCCACGACAAAAGTGAACAAAATAGGGAAATCGGACAACCCTAACGAACGCCACTTGTGGCCGGAAAGCTATCCGACAGGTCACCGTAGACTCTGACACGGCCTGTAGTGTTCGAGGATAGAGCACGCAGGATGTGCACGTATTTCGTGGGAACACCTTTCCGCGCAAGTAGTTCGAACTGAATCACTCAATCGAATGAATCGAACGCACTCTTGAAATTGAGAAACACAGCTACTGTCGGCCAGCGGTATGTGTGGCGCTGCTCTAGCACCCGCCACAGAGTGAATATATGGTCTATACAGACCCGTCCTGGACAGAAACCTGCGTGCTCTTCCCTAATCCGAGGTTCACGTTCCACAGTGAGGCGACGAACGAGAATCGAGGCCAGTACTTTTGTCACAACTGGTTAAGCTAATACGCCTGTGGTTAAAACAGTCTTTGCGACTGCCCTTCTTGTATATTGCCACTATAAGCGATTAGCTCCAATTAGCCAGGACACTCATCCAGATACGTTCGAATAAGGAGGTCAGTGCTTTGCAGAGGATCTCACCTTTAACTTTAAATAGTGTAGGTTGGAGGGAACCCAGACTAGCGGTACGAAAACGATTGAGGGCTGCGATCGTGTTTCATACTTAGGCTTCCGACGGAGGCTCTAAACTAATCGTCCATGGTTCGTCATGCAACACCTGAGTAGGAAGAGGTTCGGGAGCAGGGGGCCAGCTGAACTGATCTTGGTGTTCTGTCCAACGAGCTATACGGCGCTCCTTATTGTGTATCAGTGCACCCCGCTGTGTCTGATTGTATCAATGACGCCCAGTTTCCTGGGACCAGTGGTGTGGATCAGCCAGAAGAGCTTGCGGTAACTGCCTACTGCTCCAGCCTCCTCCAATTGTTGAGCCCGATTAGTCCACCAGGCATCCTTGTCAGCACGTACGCTCCGCTTTAGTACACGCCTAATAACCCGAAAAAACGCTTGACTACTGCTCAACAAGCACACAGGCTTTGTGATAGTCGCTATAAGCGTGGGTTCAATCCGTTCGAAGCATCGTTGGAATAGGCGTGCTTTAATCCCGTCGCTTAACATAGGACTTTTTTGGGTTAATCGAGGCCCTTCTCATGCCGACACAGGGCTAACCGAAGATGTAGCTTGCAATTATTTCAAAGCACCCGATATATGTCAAACATGCGGGTCAAAGGAGCTGCTCGATACGTTCGCCGGCAATTGGGCCGATTCCTCAGCAGGCTCTTCCCTGTGAAATCTATTCATAGAGGTTGTGCACTAAACTATTTTTCACCAGTGGGGTATGAAGTGCAGAAACATCGAACGGGCTACCTGAACAGTGTCCGTCTCAGA